CAGATGGTGACTGCAGCCATGAAATTAAAAGACGCTTACTCCTTGGAAGGAAAGTTATGACCAACCTAGACAGCATATTAAAAAGCAGAGACATTACTTTGTCAACAAAGGGCTGTCTAGTCAAGGCTATGGTTTTTGCAGTGGTCATGTATGGATATGAGAGTTGGACCATAAAGAAAGCTGAGCACCGAAGAATTGATGCTTTTGAACTGTGGTGTTGGAGAAGACTCTTGAGAGTCCCTTGGACTGCAAGAAGATCCAACCAGTCCATCCTAAAGGAAATCAATCCTAAATACTCATTAGAAGGGCTGGTGCTGAAGCTGAAACTCCAATACTTTGGCCAGCTGATGTGAAGAGCTGACTCATTGGAAAAGACCCTGATGCTGGGAAAGATTGAGGGCAGAGGAGATGGGGACGACAGAGGATGAGATGGTTGGATGGCATCACCAACTCGATGGACATGAGTTTGGGTGGACTCTGGGAGTTGGTAATGGACAGGGAGGCCTGGTGTGCTGCGGTTCATGGGGTTGCGGAGAGTCGGACACGACTGAGCGACTGAACTGAACATAGAGAGGATAATAAAACAAAGTTAACAAAATACTAAAAATTGATGACTTTGGATAAAGAGAGCATGGGAGTTTTTTTAAAGCATTTTTTAAAATTATGAAAGTATAAAAACACATTTACAGGAAACTTGGAGAATGCAGAACAAAGTTACATATGGTTCCACTATATATTACAGTTGTTTTTTTAAGTAGATAAATTAAGATTTTTAGTTGGAGTTTTAATATCAAGCTCTCAAAAATTAGTAGAATGAATACACAGAAAAATAGAAAGATATAATAGACCTGAAAAACACTATGAACCAATTCAACATGATTAAGATGTATACAATTTTCACACAACAGCAGGATACAAATTCAAGTTCCCATAGACTATAAATCTGGAGACACTGGAACATATCCTGGAATGTAAAACAAGGTACAAAAATTTCATAGTCTAAAGGTATTAAAATCATACAGAGTCTATTCTCTTATCACTGTGGAATTATGTTAGAAGTCAGTATCAAAAAGTATTTGAAAATAACCCACATATTTTCAAGTATAATGTAACATTTACCAAGAGATATCTTTGACTTAGCCACTAAAAGCCTCAAAAAAAAAAAGACTGAAAAAATACAGAAAGTGATTGTAGAGAAGAAGGCACTTAAATGAGAAATAAACATCAAAATGAGAAATTAGTATCAAAGGATACTTAAAAAAAAACATGAATTTGGAAATTAAATGTCTACTTTTAAATAGTGGATGTACCTAAAAGTTATAACAAGGAAAATTAGAAAATATTTGTAACAGAATAAAAATGAAAAGAGAATTTATCAGAATTTGTTGCATGCAGCTGGAGTTGCTCAATGCAGCTAAGTACAATATGGAATCATGAATAAGATATTATGAAAACAAATAATGGACACTAGCATAAAATTTTGTAAAATTTGAACAAAATCTGTCCTTTAGTTAATAATACTATATTATGTTAGTTTCCTGTTTGGTTTTTTTTTTAATGATGTAATATTTCTTTAGAGAATTTGCGAGTTTTTTAATATTGTTCTTTCACCATTTCTGTAAGTTTGAAATGATTTCATGGTAAAAAGTTATAAATAAACAGTCTACACATATTTTAAAAATTCTACCATTGGGTCAATAGATAGGTGAAGAGATAAAGTGAATAGAGCAGAACATTAGCCCTTGTAGAATCTCAGTGGTAAGTGGGTGTTTTCTATATTTCATCGGATTTTCTTTATGTTACAGCATTTCATAATGAAATGTTGAAGGGGAAGAAAAAAGTCTTTTAAAACATTATTTGTAAGTGTGTTAGTGTTAGTCGCTTAGTTGTGTCTGACTCTGTGGCCCCCATGGGTGATAGCCCGCCAGGCTCCTCTGTCCATGGGATTCTACAGGCAAGAATACTGAAGTGGGCGGCCATTCCCTTCTCCAGGGGATCTTCCAGACCCAGGAATTGAACCCAGTTTTCCTGCATTGCAGGCAAATTCTTAACCATCTGAGCCACTAGGGAAGCTCATTTGTAAGTGTACTTAAGTAGTAAAAAAAAGTATAAAAAAAGATACTTAAGTGTAAAAAAAGATTTCATGTTCTAAAGGGTTAGTTGCTGTGGAGAAGGTTTCAGGAGCTATTTCAACCAGACACATATTGCACTATCTTTGAATGCTCTGTGTCAGAACATTGTTTGTCAGGGCGTTTTGAAGTCCTTTTGCTTGATGATCTAGTCAAGTGTTTAATTATGAAACAGGATGTGTGCCGTTAGTATTCTGTATTTTTTACCATGAGCCGTGTACTTTGCAGATGATTTAAACACCAGTGTTTTTAGTTATAAGCAGAGTAGTTTTCGGTAAATTTTCCCTTCTTGATAGCAATCAAGGATAGGGGTTTATATTTCATTTAGAAATAGTGCCTCCTTGGTTCTCCTGTGCCAAGGCTATGTCAATAGATTCTGCACGTGTCAGGGTGAGGGGTGGTGGACGTCAGTATCTGGATACCCAGGACAGGCCTCACAGACTGTGCCGTCATCTGTGGGTAGTGCCGTGGCCTTTGACCCCACTGTCAGACTCAGACTAATGTCTCTCCACTGAAGTAGTCAAAAAACCCAGGACTACCATGGGCTAGAATTGTTGTTGCTCCATTGCTAAGTCGTGTCCAACTTTCTGCGACCCTATAAATTGCAACATCCCAGGTTTCCCTGTCCTTTACTATCTCCCGAGTTTGCTCAAACTCACGTCCGTTGCATCTGTGATGCTGTCTAACCGTCTCATTCTCTGCCGTCCCCTTCTCCTCCTGCCTTCAGTCTTTCCTAGCATCAGGGTCTTTTCTAAGGAGTCAGTTCTTCTCATCAGGTGGCCAGAGTATTGGAGCTTCAGCTTTAACACTAGCCTTTCCAATGAATATTCAGGGTTGATTTCCTTTAAGATTGATTGGTTTGATCTTCTTGTATCCAAAGGACTGTCAAGAGTCTTCTCTAACACCACAGTTCAAAAGCATCAATTCTTTGGCACTCAGCCTTCTTTATTGGCTAGAATAGGGATCTATAAATCACGGCCCGTTTAGCCCAAATAGTTTTATCGGAACTCACACCCATCTGTTTACATATTGTCAATGGCTGCTTTCCAGCTACAGTAGCCGAATTGAGTAGTTATGATGACTTGTATGGCCCTTCATAGAAGAAGTTTGCCCACCTCTTGAATTCTCATAGCTGACTTGATCAGAGAACTTTGAAGGGCAGGCACTGCTCTAAGCACTGTAGCCGAGCCATCCCATTTAATCCTCCCAGTGAGCAAGATACTGCTTTGGAGAAGAGGAGGTTGAGGCTGAGAAGTTCTTCTTCTAAGTCTAGAGTAAAATGGGCAACCCAGACTGAGACAAGACCTAACCTAACCGAGTAATTCCCCATTCTTGGGCACTCCAGATTTCCCTTATTGTCATTGTGCTTGCATGTTATGAGACAGGGTTGCCTTTTTAAAAATATCCAAGTTTTATTAAAGATGTTTTTTTCATTTTGTTTTGCAGCTTCAGTCAATAATTAAGAAAGTAATTGCACACTTTCACGATTTCTCAGTTCTTTTCTCAGTGGTAAGTAACTATCTGGAACTATTTTTGAAAATTTGTATCCGAGTCAGAAGTTCCTTTAATGTCTCAGTAAATTTTTTATGGTGTCCTCAACCAAAAATAATACTTAACAGTTTCTTTTTTAATCTAAAAAAAAAGTAGGTCTAAGCAATTTAAATATTTATATCATAATGACTTAAGCAGCTTAAGCAATAATATTTCTGTTATTGAGAAAATAATAGGCATAGACTGATAGAAAAATATTGTTTTTATTTCATTTGTGACTTTTTATGGGATGTATGTACCTACTGGGTATCATACAACTTGTGAAACCTTGGAACTAAACTGGACATTGATTTTTTGTTGTTGTTTTTGCATGGTATCTGCTTTTTATCACACAATTTAATGTTGAAACTGGGGAATATATCAAGCTTATAGTTGTTTCAGTGTCTTGACAGAATTGAGATTTGTTATATTTCCTTAGAAATTTAAAATATCCTATGATACCCTTCTCATCTGCTGCAATGCCCTGGGCATGTACCAATCTAGTTACGTACTTCTCTGCAGGAACACTCTGCCCCTTCCCTCAGCTTCCCTCTTCCTTCTTCCTGTTTCCGCTTCTGTTCTCTCACAGGGCTGTAAGCTTTTGTTTATTTAATAATAGAAATTGTTATTTATTGGATTTTTGCCACACTCCAAGCCCTATGCTATAGCTTTTATAAATTTTTTTAAATTGAAATGTAGTTGGTTTACAATGTTGTGTTGGTTTCAGGTGTATGGTGAAGTGATTCAGTTATACATAAACACATATTCATTCTTTTTCAGATTTCTTTTCCCATATAGTTTGTTATAGAATATTGAGCAGAGTTCCATGTGCTATACAGTAGATCCTTGTTGGTTATCTATTTTATATATAGTAATGTATATGTTTTAATCCCAAACTCCTAATTTATCCCTGTCACCTCCTCCCCTTTGGTAGCTATAGTTTGTTTTCTCTGTGAGTCTATTTCTGTTTGTAAATAAGTTCATTTTTATCTTTTTTTTAGATTCCAGGTATAAGTGATATCAAGTGATATTTGTCTTTCTCTTTCTGGCTTACTTCACTTCGTATGATCATCTCTAGGCCCATTCATGTTGCTGCAGATGGCATTATTTCATTCCTTTTTGTGACTGAGTAATATTCCATTATATATATGTACTGCCTCTTTATCCATATATCTGTTGATGGGCATTTAGGTTGCCCCCATTTCTTGGGTATTGTACATAGTGCTGCAATGAACATATTGGGGTACATGTGTTTTCTGGATTATGGTTTTCTCAGAGTATATGCCCAGTAGTGGGATTGCTGGGTTATATGGTAGTTTTATTTTTAGTTTTTTAAGGAACCTCCATACTGTTCTCTATAGTGGCTGTACTAATTTATATTCCCAACAGTTTAGGAGGGTTCCTTTTTCTCCATACTCTCTCCAGCGTTTATTACTTGTAGGCTTTTTGATGATGGCCATTCTGACCATTGTGAGGTGATGGCTCACTGTAGTTTTGACTAGCATTTCTCTAATAATTAGCAGTGTTAAACATCTTTTCATGTGCTTTTTGGCCATCTGTATGTCTTTAGAGAAATATCTTTTTAGATTTTCTGCCCATTTTTAAATTGGATTGTTTGTTTTTTGATGCTGAGCTGTGTGAGCTGTTTTGTATGTTTTGAAGATTAATCCCTTACCAGTCGCATTGTTTGCAAATATTTCCTCCCATTCTGTAGGTTGTCTTTTCATTTTGTCTATGGTTTTCTTTGCTGTGCAAAAACTTTTTAGTTAAGTCTCATTTGTTTATTTTTGATTTTATTTCCATTACTCTGGAAACATATCCAAAAGGATATTGCTGCAATTTATGTCAAAGAGTGTTCTGCCTGTATTCTCCTCTAGGAATTTTATAGTACTTAGTCTTACATTTAGGTTTTTAATCGATTTGGATTTGTGTGTATAGTGTTTTCATTTCAGTTCAGTTGCTCAGTTGTGTCTGACTCTTTGTGACTCCATGGACTGCAGCTCTCCAGGCTTCCCTGTCCATCACCAACTCCCAGAGCTTGCTCATACTCACGTCCATCGAGTTGATGATGCCATCCAACCATTTCATCCTCTGTCATCCCCTTCTCCTCCTGCCTTTCCCAGTATCGGGGTCTTTTCTAATGAGTCAGCTTTTCGTGTCAGGTGACCAAAGTATTGGAGCTTCAGCTTCAGCATCAGTCCTTCCAGTGAATATTCAGGATTGATTTCCTTTAGGATTGACTAGTTTGATCTCTGCAGTCCAAGGGACTCTCAAGAGTCTTCTCCAACACCACAGTTCAAAAGCATCAATAGTGTTCTAATTTCATTCTTTTACATGTGGCTGTCCAGTTTTCCTAGCACCACTATTGAAGAGACTGTCTTTTCTCCACTGTATATTGCCTTCTTTGTTGTAGATTAATTGACCACATGTGCTTGGGTTTATTTCTGGGCTTTCTATACTGTTCCACTGATCTGTATTTCTGTCTCTGTGCCAGAACCATACTTTTTTGATGACTGTAGCTTTGTGTCTAGTCTGAAGTCAGGGAGCCTGTTTCCTCCAGCTCTGTTTTTCTTTCTCAAGATTGCTTTGGCTTTTTGGGGTCCGTTTATGTTTCCATACAAATTAAAAATTTTTTTGATTCTAGTTCTATGAAAAAAGCAGTTGGTAATTTGATAGAAATTGCATTGAGCCTGTAGGTTGCCTTGGGTAGTGTAGTCATTTTGACAATATTGATTCTTCTAGTCCAAGAACATGGCCTATCTTTCCTTTTCTTTTGTGTCATTTTTTATTTCTTTCATTAGCATCTTACAGTTTTTGGAGTACTAGTCCTTGCCTTCTTAGGTAGGTTTATTCCTAGGTATTTTATTCTTTTTGATGGCAGTGGTAAATGAGATTGTTTCCTTAATTTCTCTTTCTAACCTTTCGTTGTGTATAGAAGTACAACAGATTTCTGTGTATAATTTTTTATCCTGCAACTTTACCAGATTCGTTGATGAGCTCCAGTAGTTTTCTGCAGTGTCTTTAGGATTGTCTTTCTGTAGTATTGTGTCATCTACAAGCAGTGACAGTTTTACTTCTTTTCCAGTTTGGATTCCTTTTTTTTTCTTTTTCCTTTTCTGATTGCTGTGTTAGGACTTCCAAAACCATGTTGAATAGAAGTGACGAGAATGGACATCCTTGTTTTGTTCCTGAACTTAGAGGAAATACTTTCAGCTTTTCCCTGTTGAGTATGATGTTAGCTGTGTGTTTGTCATAGATAGCCTTTATTAGGTTGAGGTAGGTTCCCTCTGCCCATTTTCTGAAGAGTTTTTTTAATCATAAATGGATGGTGAATTTTATCAAAAGCCTTTTCTTCATCTGTTGAAATGATTATATGGATTTTATTTTTCCATTTGTTAATGTGGTGTATCACACTGATTGATTTGTGGATATTGAAAAATCCTGGCATCCTTGGAATAAATCTCACTTGATTCACAGTGTATGATCCTTTTAATGTATTGTTGGATTCGGTTTGCTAGTATTTTTGTTAAGGATTTTTGCATCTGTGTTAATCAGTGATATTAGCCTGTAATTTTTTGTGTGTGTGTTGTGTCTTTGCCTGGTTTTGGTATCAGGGTGATGGTGACCTCATAGATTGAGTTTGAAAGTGTTCCTTCCTTTGCAATTTTTTGGAATAGCTTCAGAAGGATAGGTGTTAGCTTTACTCTAAACGTTGGATAGAATTCACCTGTGAAGCCATCTGGTCCTGAACTTTTGTTTCTTGGGAGTTTCTTAATCACAGATTCAGTTTCAGTGCTTGTGATTGGTCTGTTCATATTTTCTATTTCTCCATTTCTTCTAGGTTGTCCATTATGTTGGCATGTAATTGCTTATCGTAGTCTCTTACAATCCTTTGTCTTTCTGTGGTGGTGGTTGTAACCTCACTTTTTTCATTTCTACTTTTATTGATTTAGACCCTCCCCCACTTTTTTTTTTTTAATGAGTCTGACTAAAGGTTTATCAGTTTTGTTTATCTTTTTCAAAGAACCAGCTTTTGGTTCCATTGATCTTTTCTATTTATTTTTATGCATTGCCTCAGGTCATTTTTAGAAAAGCACTGGGAAGCAAGAGTAGTAATGAGTCCCACTTTACCAATGAGGAATGCAAGAAGCGGTGGAGAACCTTGCTTAAGGTCACACAGGCACTGAATGTGAAGTCAGGATGCGGAAGCCACTGTTTGAACAACTGACTCTGCTTTCTCTGTTCCTCTGTGCAATCATAAAAAGACTGAAGCCTGCCTTGCCTTTGGGTATCAAGAAGAGCTTCGTTGCTGTTCAGTCACTTAAGTTGTGTCCAACTCTTTGCAATCCCATGGACTGCAGCACGCCAGGCTCCTCTGTCTTTCACTCTCTCCTGGAGTTTGCTCAAACTCATGTCCGTTGAGTTGGTGATGTCATCCAACCATCTCATCCTCTGTCGCCCCCTTCTTCTCCTGCCCTTAATCTTTCCCAGCATCAGGGTCTTTTCCAGTGAGTTGGCTCTTCACATCAGGTGACCAAAGTATTGGAGCTTCAGCTTCAGCATCAATCCTTCCAATGAATATTCAGGGCTGATTTCCTTTACAACTGATTGACTGATTTGATCTCCTTGTTGTCCAGGGATCTCAAGAATCTTCTCCCGCATCACAGTTGAAAGCATAAATTCTTCAGCAGTCAACATTCTTTATAATCTAACTCTTATATCCATACATGACTACCAGAAAAACCATAGCTTTGACTAGACAGACCTTTGTCAAAAAAAGGGATGTCTGTGCTTTTAATACACTGTCTAGGTTTGTTATAGCTCTCCTTCCAAGGAGCAAGTGTCTTTTAATTTCATGGCTATAGTCACCATCTGCAATGATGTTGGAGCCCAAAGAAAATAAAATCTGTTACTGCCTCCACTTTTTGTCCTTCTATTTGTCATGAAGTGATGGGACTGGGTGCCATGATCTTAGTTTCTTGAATGTTGAGTTTTCAGTCAGTTTTTACCCTCTTTCACCCTCAAGAGGCTGTTTAGTTCTCTTTCATGGATCACACCCTTGTCATGGTGAAGGGGCTTGCATAACTCAGTGAAGCTATGAGCCGTGCCGAGCAGGGTCACCCAAGATGGACAGGTCATAATGAAGAGTTCCGACAAAATGTGTTTCACTGGAAGAGGAAATGGCAAACCCACTGCAAGTATTCTTGCTGTGAGAACCCGTGAACAGTATGAGCTTGTTACTTACCTAAAGGTTTTCCAGGACTTCCCTGGTGGTAGAGTGGATGAAAATCCGCCTACCAATGCAGGGCACACAAGTTTGATCCCTAGACCACAGCACATGCCACGAAGCAGCTGAAGCCTGAGCTGTGTGCCGCAACCGCTGAGCCCTTGTGCGGTAACTCCTGAAGCCTGCACACCTAGAGCCTGCTCTCCGCAACAAGAGCTGCCACTTTAATGAGAAGCCTGTACACTGCAACGAAGAGTAGCTCCTGCTCTCTGCCTCTAGAGAAGGCCCATGGCAGCAGTGAAAATGCAGCACAACCAAAAATGGATAAATAAATAATTTTTGAATGGTTGCCCAGGTGATTCACCAAAATAGTAACTGGTCCCAGCCTTGATCCCTGGGCACATGTAATTTATTTTAATAGTAATAGAGTCCGGGACTTCCCTGGTGGTACAGTGGTTAAGAATCCACCTGCCAGTGCAGGGAATACAGGTTCAATCCCCGGTCCGGGAAGATCTCACGTGCCGCAGGGCAGCTAAGCCTGTGTGCCACGATTACTGACTAGAGCTCTCTAGCTTCAGCTGCTGAGCCCATGAGCTACAAGTACTGAAGCCTGCGTTCTCTAGGGCCCTCGAGCCGCAGCTAATGAGCTCCTATGCTGCGACTAATGAATGCCCAAGCCCTAGGGCCAGCAAGTTGCAACCACGCCTGTACTCCACAAGAGCAGCCAGCACAGTGAGAAGCCTGCACGCCACAGCTCGACAGTAGCTCCCCACTTTCTGCAACTGGAGAAAGCCCGTGTGCAGCAACGAAGCCCCAGTGTAGCCGAAAATGAATAAATAAACAAAGCAGTGTGTACGTGTAAAAAATAAAAAATGATTTAAATGGCCGGTTCTCTGTGACAGCCTGGAAGGGTGGGGTGGGCTGGGAGGTGAGAGGCCTAAGAGGAAGGGGACACAGGTGTACCTATGTCTGACTCACGCTGATGTATGGCAGAAACCAACACGCTATTGTAAACAGTTATCCTTCACTGGAAAATAAATTTTTTTTTTTTAAAAGGCCCATATTATGTTAGGAAAAAAAAAAACAACCCACCTAGAGTCTTCTCCTTGCTTTCACCTGAGTCCTGATCAGACCTGCCTCAGAAAGACAAAAAACTCTTCCTCTGTTTTGACCTTCAAAGAAGAAGTAACCCATAAATCTCTTCTAGTAACTTGTATAAATTGCAGGTAGAATGCTTTTTTTTTTAGGAAAAATTTCTGCCATTTTTGGACATGTTCCAGAAAGAAAGTGTCCGGGTGGAGGTTTGCAAATGCATCATGGAAGTTTTTATCAAGTAAGTATAACACAAAGTAATCAGAAGCTTCGATTCCCACTGCCCTTGTGAAACCTGTTGATAAGAAATCAATTTATGCACTTTGAGGCCCTGTGATGTAATGATGTATTTATACCTAAAATAACATTGAGAGGAGAACCACATTAAAAGGAGCAATCATGATAAAGTTTATAATTAGCTCTTAAGAAGACAAAGTAATAAATATAAATATTAGATGGGCCCACCATCACCCACATCTCACTCCTATGAGTTTTGGGAAGGAGCAATCTATTGATGTACTATTTATTTAGGGAGTTTTAAGATTTTAAGATAGTCATTCTTATCTTCTCTCATACCAGAGCTTGAAAGATTTCTATCTTCAATGTGTACATTTATGACAGGTTTTCAATTTAATTCCTTTCCTTTTATTGATTAAATCTGTTTCCCAAAACTGTCTATTGCTGGTGGTATGTGAAATACTTTGATAGTTTGTGGAAGAGAAACTTTTATTTTTAAAAATGTATATTTATTTTAAAGTATATTAGATAATATATAACTAGTTTAATCAGTGACTTCTAATGTATTTTTCTTTAGAACAGGGTTAAAAGTTAAACTGACTTTAACCATTAAGTATGTAGATATGATTTTTAAAAAAAATGTGTGTAAAAAATGAAGCTCAAATAGCAGAGTTTGGAAAATTCAGTTAGAAGTTAGTTGAGTATATGTTTTAAGCTTTCCTTGTATTTTCTTTCTAAAAGATTAATTCCATATGCTTGAAATGAGTATACCTACTTTACTTTCATAAAAATTTGTTGTAAGAGCTTGTCTTTTGAGAAACTAAATTAATAATTTTGTCTGCACTTAACACAGTTGTAGACAGCTTCAGGGGTTCAGGAAACATGGTAAGAAAACAGATTTGCCCTTTGCCTGGCTTAGGAAATGTGGCAGTTTTACCATGATTTTGCAGTTGGGAGAAGTTATGTTAGAAGAGCAAACTTGTTAGTTAAAGAAAAATTCAGAGAAAACTAGAACATTGCCCATTGCTGGTGAGCTGGGCTATGTTAGATGCCAACCAGATAGTTTACTGCTTCTCACATATGTCCCGTAGATGAGAACTAAATCCATGCTTTTAGTGCTTGGTGTAGATGGCTTTCACTCTTATCCCCAAATGTCTCCTAGGCATCAGCAGGAGCCCACCAAGGACCCCGTGATTCTGAACGCCCTTTTGCACGTTTGCAAGACCATGCACGACTCTGTGAAGTAAGCCACGCTTAAGGCTGAAAAGAGCCTGGATTGAGTTTTAATGCCACATAATAGTGCATTAGGGAATTACTGCTTTAAGTGGCCTCTGTGAATAATATTATTTTATGGGGTCTATTAAGATTCTTGTTAACGAGGACATTCCAATCCAGGGGAGGAGGGAGGCTGAGCTGAGGGTAATCTTCCTGAGAAAATGAGATGGCAGATGTTTTTACAAAGGGATTTCTGTTGGGAGGAAAAGGCTGGTTTCATCCAAGTGAACTCATGCTACGTGTCTCCTGGAGATTTCTGAGAGCAGCAGATAGTATAATAATGAGTTCACTCATCCAGTAACATAGCCTTTAAATTTTTTCTCATTATTAGCCAGTTATTTGAAATTCAAATGAAGTTGCCTGTTTTCCTTACATGAAGGACCTTATTTTTTCAGTATACTTGAGGCTCAGACCTAGTCACCAGCCTTACCTTTGGGTCAAAAGCCAGATTATCTCCTTTGCTTTCTAATTTGATGTATTTATCTTATTTTTTTTCTTTTTCATTACATGTTTCCATTTGACTGTGCTTGAGGCAATTCCTTCTTTGTGGCTGAAATTTTGATCCCTAAAGAATTTTTAAACACAGCAGCTTGATTCGCTGGAAAATGTTACAAGAACTGAGAAAATTGTTTTGGAACTTAACCATCAACTAGATGAATTGTGTTTCTTTTGTTTTGTTTTTCCCTGATTTGTAGAATCTTTATTTTCATGACCTTTGCTTTCAACTTCATTAGTTATCAAAATCAAAATATCAAGACTTTTCATAATAAATAGAACTGATGGACTTGCATTGCACAAAAATACATAAAGACCCAAAAGACTTTTAGAAAAGTACTTGTATTAGTAGGACATTAGTTTTTGGCCTAAATAAAATAGCAGATGTATTTCTCTTGTGAGAAGTGGAGCCAGAAGGTCCGGGAAGGGTAGCTCTGCTCTAGAACATCATCCAGGAGCCCAGATTTCTTGTCCTCCAGCTCTCCTGTCCCTCTCGGGTGTTGTCCTTGTCTTCCTGGTAGAGATGGCTTACCTCAGCCATGTTCATGTTGCAGCCTGCAGGCATAAGAGGACAGCAGCTTCCTTTTAGGGACACAGTTTGGGAGGCTTTGTACATCACTTGCATTCGCATCCCTTTGGCCAGAAGTGTCATGTGGCTACTCGTAGCCTCCAAGGAGCATTAGGAAATGTAGTCTCAAAGAATGAAGGGGACACTGCATATTGGAGGACAGTATGCTGATTTTACCAATACAGACTTGTTTTGCCTTAGAACGAGAACCTTGGTCTTTGACTCTTAAATTAAAAAAAATAAATAAATTTGGGAAACCATTTATAAACTGTCACATGTATTACCAAAACTATAAGGACTTGACATTTTCTCATTTATATTTATACTAACTTTTCTATTAAACAGAAGCAGCTCAGATCTGTGGTTTACTTTAAGCTGTATATCCATAATAAGGTAGATTGATGAATGGAGGGTGGAATGGAGAGTTATGTGATAAAGCAAATATTATAAAATGGTAATAGTAGGGTGTATTGGTGTTGACTGTATAATTTTCAACTTTGCTACATTTAAACCTTTTTATAGTAAAATGTTGAATGAAAGTTCTCTGGAATACAAAATTTGAAGCTGAACAAATTCCAAAGAAGGGAGAGTTACCTTCTCTTTTGCTATTAATATATCTTGAGAATAGCGTCTCTAAGAGAAATGAGAAACACATTTAAATTATGTTAATTTAGGTTACATATTTTCATCAAAAGAAACACGAATATGGGAGTTTTTAAAATCTAGAAAATGCAAAATGTTCTTACCTGTTAAATTACTTATTTCTCATTTATTTTTTTCCTTTGGAAACTTTCATTTATTACCTCAATGTCAATTATGTACAATTATTGATTTCAGTGCACTCACTCTTGAAGATGAGAAAAGAATGCTGGCATATTTGATTAATGGATTTATAAAAATGGTAAGTATTGGGGAAGAAGTTTCAGTGTACTTAGAAATGTGATGTAATTGTTTATCCTTCCTCTGGTGAAAGCAGTTAACATTATGTTCCCTGGTGCTTTTCATTTTTATGGAGATAAGATGAAATTAGAAAACAACTTATATTAGCCAGCACTCCCCTGGGGGCAAGGAGAGCCAAGACAAACTGGCTTAAGGAAAAAATAAAAAGGGGACGGTGGGAGGGGGACTGGCTGATGTGACACAAAGGCCGGGGGTGGACCTCTCGGAAGGAGCAGCTGGACTCGGGGTCTCCCTAGTGTCATCCCGAACTGCTGTGTGTGTCTTTGGCTCATGGCTCTTCTCTCCTGGCATCCCTCCCAGGCAGGCCTACTCCCCACGAGAGCCCCAGGTTTCCATTCCTTCCAGTGCTGCAGCCCAGCAGGAAGAGCTCCAGCAGAAGTTCTAGGGCTGAGTCTGTGGATTAATTTGGGTCACCGGCTCGTCCCTGAGCAAATTGCTGCTGTTGAGAAGGAAGGAACACACCGGCCAGGCCAGGGAGACAGGCACCCCTGGGCAGCCAAACCACGTGGATCCAGAGTGGGAGAAGAGGCTTCCTTTTTTTCTTTTTTCAATGAAGCCAATTTAAATTCTTTCATTTTTATTTTTTAAGTTAATGTTACATTTTTTGACTGTGCCATTGTGGCTTGCAGAATCCCCAGTTCCCTGACCAGGGATTGAACCTGGGCCACGGCAGTGAGAGCCCAGAATTCCAAGCTGTAGGCTGCGGGGAGACCCGTGGAGAAGGGGCTTCCTGAAGCACCTGATGAGCTGCTCTTCAGATGCTGCTGAAAACAGCTTGGGGGTTGGCGGGGGGTGAAATGTCAGTGTCCACTCTCCATTCATCCTAGTTACTCAGTACTACAGGACAGCTCACCCCAGACTTAGTGGCTTAACATGGCAGTGTTTTATTCTTGTGAGTCCGTGGGTTGACCGGGTAACCAGGCCACTCCGTGTGATGGCAGAACTGTGGCAGAACTGGGGCTGGAGGATCCAGGACGGTCTTGAGCACGTGTTTGGGGTCCTGGTGCTGGCTGTTGACTGGGGCAGATAATTTCTGTCGTGTGACCTCTTTTTGTCCGCCACTCTCATCATTTGCTCATATCCGGGCTCTTGCCTGATGAGGGCAGAATCAGAAGCTGCCGGGCCTGTGGAGGCTTAGAGATCACACAGTGACCAGTGCTGCTGCCTGCTTCATTCTGTTAGTCAAAGCAAGTCCCAGGGCCAGCTGTCTGGAGGGGAGGGAAAGGTGACCCACCCCCAGATGGGAAAAGTCCACGGGACACTGGGGAGGGGCGAGCGAGGCGGGCGGCATTGTTGCAGGTTTCATCGGGAATAACCACCTTTCCACCCTAGCCAGAACAACCTTTGCCTTACATCTCGGTACACGAAACTAAAATACCCACTTCAGCCAGTATCTCCTGTTAGAAATGTCAAGAGAAAAGCTGCCTGAGATGAAAATAACTAGGTCACTTTGAAAATCACCTGGAAAAATGTGACTCACTCAATAACAGAGGTTGATTTAACTATGGTAAAATACCAATTTTGATGAAAATTCAGGATAAGCCGTTTAATTCCCATGTTAGGAAATGTACCTATGATTGATACTAGGTGCCTCTCTTGTTCCCTTAATTTATATGCTGTTCTCGTGATATTTATCCTTTTATGGGTCTGTCTGAAAACCACTAAGTTTTAATGGGAAAGAATATGAGAAAATAAGATGTGAAACTTGATAGCTGTGGTGGAAATTATGACTTTAAACCTCTTCTGGACAAAAATGATTGTTGTAGCAGTAAAATTTGTCCTACCAACCAGCTGTTCATAAATTTGAAGAAATAGGAGAAGAAGTTTTTAGTGGTGGATTAACATCCATCGATGGCTCCAGCAGCCACCAGTGAGCTGCTAAAGGCTGGAATCCCCATCAGGAAGCAGAAATGTGTGGCCCTTGTTAGGGAATCCCTCTGACAAGTGACTCCCAATCACCAAATCTATGTGAAAAGGCTGCAGCTGACAGCCAAAATGCCAAAATTTCCTTTCCAGTGGTTTCCTTCTTGCCTAGGAAATCCTCTTTGCATTTTGAGATTCTGTTTTATACCCTTTGGTCTTTTTATGTCCTACTCCAATACCCATGTCATGAAGATGAGATGATAATAGTAACATTTCTGCTATATGCTGGGTAAAGTAATGTAACATCTAGTTAGAGTGTATTCCAGTTCACGGATGTGTGTGTTTGCTTACATACCCTTGAGATACCACCCATCTATATCTGTGGAATTTTTGGTGTCTTATCATTGCAGCACCTCCCCTGTCCCCACAAAACTCAGGAGGAACTTTTCCAATTGGTGTGCTTACAGCTGCCTAGAGTTAACATTGTCACTTCTTTCTCCTTGATTCTAGGTGTCCTTTGGCCGTGATTTTGAACAACAGCTGAGTTTTTATGTGGAGACCAGGTCAATGTTTTGCAATCTGGAACCTGTCCTTGTGCAGTTGATTCACGTAAGGATTTTCTCTCATTCCTTTATTTTCTCAATACATGTTTATTGATCATTGACATGCCACGCACCAGTTTTAATCTGAGATTCTTCTGGCCGCATATTGCTTCTGTTCCCAAGGCATGAAAGATGTTTTATCAAAGGTTAATAAAATCTACAGCTTTGCTTGAGCCTTTAGAGTGGTTTAATTGGCCTCTTTTTCTCTGAAATTTGCATATTCACTCCTGCATGTCAACAGCAAAGAGTTGAGTGAGTTGTAGTGATTATTTAGTTATAGAAATTATTAACCTAGTTAAAATTCCATGTTACCTAACCAGAGTCCCAGCTTTCTTGGTTCACAGTGCCTTTCAGTAACTTTTCACGATGCCCTTAGGCAAAAAAGAAGAGATAACAGTTCTGTTTATTAAGAAATTAGGCTCAAGCAACTTAAGAATTTGTGCCCTAATAGCTTGCTTCTCTGAACCAACAATTTATGTAAATTGAAAGAAAAATAGTATATTTTCATTCCATTTAAAATCATCATAATTACTTACTAATGAAGTATATGTACCTCTAGGCATTGCTTGACTTCTCAAACCTTGGAATCAGATGGGACACCACTACTCTATTTTCTGTTCCAGATATTTTTTTTCCCCCACATTAATGTTTGCACAGTACTTTTTGTCACGGCAGTTGCTAAAAACCCAACTTTGCAAAGACATGCCATCACTGCAAGGAAGGAACCATGTCTGTGAGCTACCTCACACAAGTGCTTCACATAGTGTCAACAGTTGAGCCCTTCTGTGGTTGTCCAAAACATGGGATGCCCCTCTGATTTTCCTGTAACACCCTGGGATGTCGTGGTACACATTTTGGGAACCATAGGTCCAAACTTTTAATTTTTGTGAAAAGATTCCCTAAGGCTCTTGAATTGTTTCATGTAAATTTAAGGAAAATGACCTTTTTATATATTTGTTTGCTGATTATCAGATTTTGTAGCATTAGTAAACTTAAGACCTAAATGTAGAGACTTATAAATCAGGGAAGTTAATAGTACTCAGCCTGTAAGGTCATGAGGAGTAAATGAGCTTAAGAATGTACAGTTCCTAGAAGGGCACCTTGTGTGCTATAAGTGATAACGTGGCTGCTCTTGCTGTTCTTACGGTTAGTGTTAGTGTTGCAAAAGTATTTTGTATGGTCTACGTTCAGGTTTGGAGGTTTCTCTTAAGATCTCTAAGATCTTAAGCTTAGTGTGTGGGATTTCTGGAAATGGAATAAGTGAACCCTGGCTATTCATTAAGCCAGAAAATGGTCATTTATCATGCCAGTTGATAGGCATGACTTAACTCAGTGAGTGCCCCTTGGAGATGTTTGCTCAAGCCAAGATTGAATCTGGCCTGATGACTCCTTTGCCGTTTCAAGGTTTGGGGCTCACCAGTCTTGGTTCTGGAACCAGTCTTGGTTCCAGTTAGCTTGTTCTCATTGACTTGTATACAGTCAGTGTCCAAATCTCTTTGGAAGATGTTTAATCTGAATTAACCATCATTTCATTCCCATTTCTGTTTTACTTTTTAATCTAGAGTGTAAACCGGTTGGCAATGGAAACAAGGAAAGTAATGAAGGGAAATCATTCTAGAAAGACAGCTGCATTTGTCCGGGTATGTTTTAAAGATAAGACTTACTTTGAACTCCAGTGGGCTGTTTCTTATACAAGTTTCTGAATTGTTACTCCCAGAAAAAGATTAAGGGTGATTTAATGTTGATTTTCTAGATTTTTCCTTACATATTCATGAACTGACCGATTTTCTTAATGTTTTCAAAAGAAACAATCAAAGGAGTCTGAATTTTGATATATATTAGGGGAGGTGGTTGAGATGGATTTGCCTTTTTGTATGCCAGCTGAATTATCTCTGGCTCGTGCCAGTAACTGGAAGGCCTAGGACCTTTTTTCCTCTTGTCAAGCTCCCAGCTTTGGAAGAAATTTGTTTCTTGAGTAAGCTGCTCAAAATTTTATCAAAGCAATACATATCCACGCTTTAAAAATAAAATTATACTGAAAAGATTATAGTGAAAATAAGCTTTCCAGCCCTGCCTTTTCTCACCATATACCTCTCTTCTCACAGTCTCTCTTTAGCAGTTTCTTCTTCAAATTACCAATTAATTCATTTTTAACTAATTGGTTTTAACAACTGCTTCTTTAAATGATAAATATTAGGTGTTATCTATTCACTCTCTGTGATGACAGGTGAAAATTTATTTTTGTACACCATTACTGTCCTTGGTTGCCCCTCATGTTCCTCCCAAAAAGGCAAATACAGCAGAAGCAAGGAGGAGAAATTGGGGTTCATAATGGGGAGATTAATTGTTTTAAGTGTTTTTACTTGAAAATATATGATGGATGAAAATGAGAATATTAATCCACTGTGATGGCATTGCCGCATAACCTGCTGTTTCTCCCCTTTCTTCTAGGCCTGCGTTGCCTACTGCTTCATTACCATTCCCTCCCTGGTGGGGATCTTCACCCGCCTCAATCTCTACCTGCATTCTGGTCAGGTGGCCCTGGCCAACCAGTGCCTCTCCCAAGGTGAGCCTGTCACTCACTCTCCTCCTCTCAGACTCTCCCTGGCTCCTTAGGAAAGCTGACTCAGCAGTGTGTGAATGCGTGCAGAGAGATTCCTTTAAGGAGGAACGAGAGGAAAAAGTGATCAATAAGTGATGAACTTTTTCTTTAGTAGGAAGCACCTCGGACACATACACATTTATAGAGTCAGACAGATTACAGAGCCTGGGTTATTTCCTGTAAGGACCTTCCTACATCTGTCTCAGGCACCCCTAGAGAGTTTTAGAACTTAGGACTGCTCATTCACAGCAGATTCAAGTTTATTTATTGTTGTCAGTGTTTGAAATTCCAGAGATACAGGAGTAGCATCTAAGCAGTATAGAATGAATGCTCTCTACAGTTTGCTGTTAGGGATAAAAATTCTGCCCAAAACCTGTTTCTGTAAGAGGTACAGAGCTGTGCTGGAACCAGGATTGTGCGAGCAGTTGATTTGGGAGGTGATCCCAGGGAGTGTGAGAGGTGAGATGAGGTGAGACAGGGAAGGGAAGGATGCCAGTGAAGGGTGCGCTGGTGTATTAATTCATTTTTAACTAATTGGTTTTAACAACTGCTTCTTTAAATGATAAATATTAGGTGTTATCTATTCACTCTCTGTGATGACAGGTGAAAATTTATTTTTGTACACCATTACTGTCCTTGGTTGCCCCTCATATTCCTCCCAAAAAGGCAAATACAGCAGAAGCAAGGAGGAGAAATTGGGGTTCATAATGGGGAGATTAATTGTTTTAAGTGTTTTTACTTGAAAATATATGATGGATGAAAATGAGAATATTAATCCACTGTGATGGCATTGCCGCATAACCTGCTGTTTCTCCCCTTTCTTCTAGGCCTGCGTTGCCTACTGCTTCATTACCATTCCCTCCCTGGTGGGGATCTTCACCCGCCTCAATCTCTACCTGCATTCTGGTCAGGTGGCCCTGGCCAACCAGTGCCTCTCCCAAGGTGAGCCTGTCACTCACTCTCCTCCTCTCAGACTCTCCCTGGCTCCTTAGGAAAGCTGATTCAGCAGTATGTGAATGCGTGCAGAGAGATTCCTTTAAGGAGGAACGAGAGGAAAAAGTGATCAATAAGTGATGAACTTTTTCTTTAGTAGGAAGCACCTCGGACACATACACATTTATAGAGTCAGACAGATTACAGAGCCTGGGTTATTTCCTGTAAGGACCTTCCTACATCTGTCTCAGGCACCCCTAGAGAGTTTTAGAACTTAGGACTGCTCATTCACAGCAGATTCAAGTTTATTTATTGTTGTCAGTGTTTGAAATTCCAGAGATACAGGAGTAGCATCTAAGCAGTATAGAATGAATGCTCTCTACAGTTTGCTGTTAGGGATAAAAATTCTGCCCAAAACCTGTTTCTGTAAGAGGTACAGAGCTGTGCTGGAACCAGGATTGTGCGAGCAGTTGATTTGGGAGGTGATCCCAGGGAGTGTGAGAGGTGAGATGAGGTGAGACAGGGAAGGGAAGGATGCCAGTGAAGGGTGCGCTGGTGGAGGGTTAGGGTTGTAAGCAGCTGGCTCCTTCCCATCGGACCCTCAGTGTCACTGAAGTCCTCAAACATGATTGCTATTCAAGGACCTTTTCAGACTCTGCTTGGTTTTGTTCTCAACTCCTCGGTGCTCCAGTAGCCTCTCAGTGCTTTTGGGATCAATGTCTTCTCTCCTCAACTCACACTATGCTTTAGCCACGCCAGCTTTTTTCCTGTCCTTGGAACATACTAAGCCATCTACCAGTTCAGAGCCTTTGCCCTTGCTGTTCCCTCTTTCTAGAGTGACCTTCCCCCCAGATATTTGCATTTTCTAAAATCACTAGGCCAGAGATGAGAATCAAGCCTTGCCTCTTTTGGGGTCCTTTCCTGTCCACCCTCGCTAAAGTAACCCCCCCTTCCCAGTCACACTCTGTACCATCCTCCTCATGTCTTCATGCCGTAATCTGATGCTTTCTTACTGTTTGTGTTTGTTTGCTTATTGTCTGGACACTCCCTTCCCCCATGAGAACTGCAAATCCCACAAGAGCAGGTATGTCCTCATTACTTGTCAGCAGACGTGGAACTTACTCCTAATGCCTGCTTTGGTAAGGATGATGGATTTGCAGGAAACAAAACAAAAATTAACAGCCTCTGCCAATAACCCAATGTGCAAAATGAAGGTTAGATTAAATTAATTAATTAGATTAAATTGATGTTAGGAAAGTTTAAATCTTATGAACTGGTTCCCTCTTAAAACGGTCAGGAATAGTGTTGTGGGGACCCCTGTGTTGTTTGATGTCACCTGTAGCATTAGGAATGGGTTGTGAGCTGGAGATGCCAGAGCTGTGAGCTGAATGTGGAGGCCCCAGAAGTCTAAATCTTTCTTCTCCCAACTTGATAAGCTCAGAGCCACATCTTGAATGTTATAGATCTCAAACAAACTCAGCGCCCCTGTGTTAGAGCTCTGGCCGCCTCCTCTACCCCCCCCCCCCACTTTAAACTGCTATGTGGGGGCAGGAATGCAGTGTCCACTTCATGCTTAATAATTTATCTGATGATTTTGTTCAAGTCTCTAAATGCTGTGGTGCTAAACCTTAAAAGCTTATTGTTGTTGTTCTGAAAGCCACATGCGGCAGTTGCTGGCCAAAATAAATAATATATTCAATTACTGAGAAGGGGAAGGCTAAATATAAATTAAATGAAGCTTGTGGAAGTGGGCCGATTGGGTTTGTTTGCCTCCTTAAGCATCCCCCCACCAGCTGGTTATAAAACATCCCCTCCCCCCTATTCATTTTCTGGCCTCCCTTGATCCAGCCTCCGCTGTACCTTCTTTATCAGCTGCAGCTTTGCCAGGGCTGGCTCAGCCCAACAAGTAAACTCCAGTTGAACCCTGAGCCAGGCCAGTGAGGCGTGCTGACGAAGGCTTATTACAGGGAGGCCCGTTCTGGTCCTTTAGACACACTGGTTCAACATGTAGGCTGGACCTACATGTCACCCATTGCCCCCAGGTCTTTAGGAGAAATGAAGGACTTGCAAATCAGTTGTCAGTCACATCTTCTGACCCAGAGATGCCTGTTCACTGTCACTGGGGATAGCTTCTTGTCCTTGTTAGTCAGTGATTCTTTCTGGAAGGTTATTGCCAAGCCACAGCAAGAGCGGGTTCTTTTCTCTTTATCTTGGTTCCTTTATCTTTACAGTTCCTCACCTCAGAAAGGAGGATGTTTTATAATGAAAGTATTGTTGTTAAAGGTGGCTTCCCTGGTGGCTTAGTGGTAAAGGATCCACCTGCCAATGCAGGAGCCACGGGTTTGATTCCTGGGTCGGGAAGATCCCCTGGAGAAGGAAATGGCAACCCGCTCCAGTATTCTTGCCTGAAAGATCCCTTGGACAGAGATGCCTGGTGGGCTACAGCCCATGGGGTCTCAAGAGTCGGACACAACTTAACGGCTAAACAACAATAACAGATGTTAAAAGTGGGTCTTGAAAGAAGGGCATTTGTTTATCAAGGAAGGGCTGTGGGGAAGAGGAGAAGGAATAGTTAGCATTCCAGGTAGAGGAGCTGGCCTGAGCAAAAGAGGGAATGTGTGGGATCATATGATGTGTTAGGGATGAAGCCCTAATGACTGGTGAGTTTCAAACCTCCTGAGTGTGCTGGTCCCAGTCCTGATTCTGCTGCTTATGAGTTGTATGCTGTTGGATTGATTGGCTGTATGGTGCCTCAGCTTCTCCATCTGTAAGTGGAGATGATGGTGGTGGTTCCTGTGTTGGATTTTTTTTTCAATTCTTGGCTGTACTGTTTTCCTTGCTGCGCAGGGGCTTTCCTCCAGCTGCAGCAATCAGGGGCGACTTGAGTTGCGGCGTGCATGCTTCTCATCGCGGTGGCTGCCCTTGTTGCGGATCACAGGCTCCAAGTGCGAGGCTTCAGTGGTTGTGGTGTATGGGCTTAGTTGCCCCGTGGCATGTGGAATCTTCCTGGACCAGGGATCCAACCATGTCCCCTACATAGCAGGCAGACTCTTAATTTTTAAAATAATGTTTATTTATTTCATTTATTTGGCTGTGCCAGGTCTTAGTTGTGGCATGCAGGATCTTTTGTCTTCGTTACAGCACCTGGGATCTTTAATTGAGGCATGGGGCTGGTGGGGTGGGTGGGGTGTCCATCATTCTCTGCCTAAGGTTTGAATCCAGGCCTCCTGCATTGGGAGCACAAAGTCTTAACCACTGCACCACCACACAGGGAAGGCCCTATGGTAGATTAAATGAGAGAAAGTACTTGGGCACTCGGTCCACTGGCACATAGTAGCAGCTCAGTAAATATTAACTTAGTATAACCATCTCTCAAAAGATGAAAGTATGCCATGGGTCTAGGAGCTAACTGCATACAATGCAGCTCTGCAGTTTCAGAATTCTGAAAGCCAATTCTCATACTCAGAAACTTGAGAAATCTTCAGGAAAGCTGTTCATTTCAAGACTGACCTGCTGAATTATCCTGAAAATAACAAATCTGCAGTTCCTCCAAAGATGAAACAATAGTGAGAACAATTAGAGCAAGATAGTGGTGAAAAGAATGATTTTTGTCCTTATCGTTAATAATAATGCTTTTCCCTCCTATAGAATTCTTTCCCCCTCCTTTGTTTGAAAACATTTTTTCCTTCCAGTTGTTTTTTTGAGATATGATTGACATACAGCACTATGTAAGTTTAAAGTGTAAAGCATAATGATTTGACTTACATACAGCATGAACTGCTTACCACAGTGAGTTTAGTGAACACCTGTCAGCTCATATGAGTACAAAGTTAAAGAAACTTTTTAAAGTATTTTTTCTTTGTGATGAGAACTCTTAACAATTTACTCTCTTAACAACTTTCATACATAACATACAGCAGTGTTAATTATATTTATCATGTTGTACATTACATCCGTAGTACTTACCTTATAACTGGACGTTTATTCCTTTTGACTGCCTTCATCCGGTTCCTCCTCCCCCTATCCCTCAC